CCTCCCATTTATATCTACTCTCTTATCGCACAGCGGTGAGGATGGAGGCAAACCCCCACCGGGGCGATCATAAGGCCGACGTTTGATCATCCTGCGTTTCCTGCTGTGAAAGTCTGTGTCCCCCCCCCTTAACCTCATCATTAAATGTCATTTTTCTCCGGTCCTATCCCCATACCAAAGGCTTCATCGCAGCCTCGACGCCACTTCGTTTAGAGCGGAAGATTAGGGTGGAGTTTCCTGCGTTTTTTTTCCAGCACGTTCTGATTCCCCTCGTCCGCTGTTCCGGGAGGATGCTGCTGTTCTACTGTAAAACTGCATTTCCGGGAACATCGATTATTATTGTTCCGCGTCTGTTTTTATTGCGGCACTTTTCAAAAATAATTTCACATTGTCTGGGAATAAATTATGCAACAGGAAACTGTAATCTCTTTATTTTGAGTCTTTTTCAACTTCAAAAGAGCGCCTCTAATTCCTGTGGGTCAAACTGACTATGTGAGCATTGTGTAGATTATATAAAAGAAACATTAATTTTTAAATGATACTAAAAAGGAAATGGAAGAAACAATTGTCCTAAGTTTATTGTCTCTGTCAGCAATGAGCTGTACGCATGTCTCAGCGCTGCTGTGCTTACGTCAGAGATTCCCAGGTAAGGGGGAGTTTCTGAACGTGCCGGGTTTTGGAGATCTCTCGTTGCCATGGCGACTGATCAGCCGCCCAACGCCCACAGCGCCCCCAGTTAATGAAATCCAGCTGGCCCTGTTCGGACTGATTAGGGATAAGCACGGCCAGCTGGGAAACGCTGAAGTCTTGGGTTGGTTTCTAATATTATTAATCCTTTCTCTTGTTAAATAAATAGTGTCCTCTTTGATTTTGTGAAATACCTTTTGGAAATATTTGTTAAAATATCATATAACGCAGTGTGAGCGTTTCTGTTAAGTGTGGCCGTCCCAGGCTGACCCTGTCATCTCCTGTTGTTTTAGCTGGATTCTGTCAATAATAACTTGAGTCAGAACCCTTAGGTACAATGTATATTTGTTATTTTGTTAAAGCACCTCATGAAAGATAGATGTCTCCCTGATTCACTGCATATGGTGTATGTGATACCACAATTGCTGGAGCACTATTTTAAAGAATGTTTTCCCTTTTTCTTGATTTGCTGGTGCCATTTTCAATCGTTTTATGAATAAAACAACGGCTCGCGGTTGCGTGTTACAATGCGAGATATGAGGTTGGTTAGTTTACGGGCTGCTTAGAGCTGAGTGACTGAATAAGCCTCTTCCCTGGTGATTATAAGGCTCTTCATATCACGGGGCCTTCCTGCCAGACTCTCCGCCTCCTTGCGCGGCATCTTGTAGCTCGTGATGCAGGAAGACACCTAGCTCAGTGATCAAACGCCCAGCAACGCCTGTCCTGCAGGTTGAAAGTGGGCGTAATTAACTGTTGGGTAATACGCGATGCTTAACAATGCGCTTAAATAAGCCTTAGCGCTGGAGTGCCAAGCCTCCATTATGACCCTCCAGTGGAAAATGGTGTAATTATGACAATTGATGGGGAAGTATGAATGTTACACGGACGCGCTTTTCCAGCAGTGTGCCTTGTACGCGTTTGGATATTTCGGCGGTGACTCAGCCGCCCGGCAGTTCGTGCGCTCACACGCGCGCACACGTGTTTTTAACTTGTCAGGGTTGCACGTATCATAAGAGGGCTGTAAATTAGCATGAAGGCGCCACTTGTCCTTTCAAAACCCGTCAACCCTCCCGAGATGAATCTGCTTGGCGGAAGGTGCCGGGTGCCGCGGTCGTCATCGTCCTTTAAGGAGGCTCCTGAGTAGGCATCGAATCTGTTCTTCTGGACGACGTGTCATGGTTTGGAGGATGGGGCGCACAGTGAGTCAGGGCTGAGGGGGAGGGCGCCCATGGTTCGAGTTACGGGGGAGCTAAGGGGGGAGCTGGGCTCCCCTGAAATGCTTAGGGGGAGTGTGGAGAGCAGAAAGATGACACCTGTGTCCTTCCGCTTTTTCATTTGTGTGTTTTGTTTGCTCTGATTAGGCTATTAAACGTCTCGCGTGATTTTCATGCCGTCATTGTGCCCACTGGTATGTGTGCGCGTGCGTGTGACTCGGGAAGTCGTGGTGCACGCCGGAGAACAGGGCTCCTCCCAAAGCCACTGTGTAATTCGAAACCCTGAGGGCACCGTAAGGGTTACAGTAGCCAATTAGGGCAAGTCCTTCATCTTCAACAGCAGCTCCTGCACCTGGACCTGGAGCCGGATCAGCTCACAACAGGTGGATCCATTGCTGCACTTGCAAGGAGGGTACGAGCGCAAACTGAATTAGTGCATCTTTAAAACTCCTGCACAGGCTGATAAATGAGACGTTATGCCGGCTGGTTCAGAGCACAATAGGAGCAATAGACCGAAACCCTCGACATGAGATTTCAGGAGTCGGGTCTTCCGGCAGTTTCCCTTCGTCCGGAATGGCGCCACAGCTACACCCAACTAGAAAGCCCCCCCCCCCACACCAATTAGAGGCACGTGGGGGAAGGGGGGCCCAGAAGATCATCTTTGCACCAGCCCACCCGCAGTAGGAGAGGGAGTTTCAGGCCTGGCAGAAAAGGACCATCGCTCCCCATTCCAGGAAGAGTGTGAATACATAATTAAACACAGATGCATAATTAACATATCCATTTGTCCCTGGAACGCGACGCGCTTCCTTGCGATGCCGGCTTCTGATGGGGGTGGGGGGTACTATTCTCAGCTCTCCTCCGTGTCGAGGGGTCTCCGGCAAGGCATTCCGTTCGACTATGAGGTGTCAGTTCACCGTTGGGGGGGGCTCACTACGCGACCTGCACCATTTAACGTGCCCGCGAGGAGGGGCAGCCCGTGTCGGGGGGGGGGGCATTTACGAGCCATGGGCCCCGGCGAGCTTCAGCACGCATGTTTTAATCATTAATGGGGTTTGGCCCCCGCACCGGCTAACAGCGGGGAGCAGATACGAGTCGCTTATGGAGCGGGATGTCGGCGCTGCGGCCGCCCATCTGTCTCCAATAACCGCTTATCGAATTAAGGCTGCGGCGATCCGGAGGGACTCCCCGGGGGGCACCGGGGCGGGGGGGGAGGGGCGACACCTGCTCGGGATCGCGGGCCAGTAGGTGACAGGCCACTCTCATGCTCAGCCGGTCAGGCGGATATCTGCCGTAACGGTGATCAGCGGCTGGGTGGGAGGGGGGGCCAAGGTCCTGGAGCAGACCTACGCCGACACACGGGCACGACACGCAAACCCCGCACGCGCGCGGCCAACTGGCCTGCAGTGTGTTTTCCGGAATGATCAATCGGCACACATTACATTAATCATTATTTTCAGCACAGATCAGAACCAATTAAATATTTTAGTTTTATTTTTCATTTGTCAGGCACGCCGAGCGCCAGTACTTGGTTTGCTACTTGAGAGGAAATAGTGCCCCCTGTTGGTATGTAATCTCTTAGCATCAAAAAATATTACCATCCCATTCTAAGTGTCCTGCGGGTCAGTCTATACCCCAGTGTACGTCATCTGGAATCAGAAAAATATTTTACAATCCTACATTATTGTCTTTGTCACAGAAAACAGATTATACTGAAATGTATTCAATATCTCACAGGCTAAGGAATCCAAAGAAATAGGATAGGGATTTTTTTTTTTTTTTTTTGAACGTTTGAAGGTTTGGATCGTGCACTGGGATGCAGAATACGCGCTTTGAGCAGTGCATGTGGAGCCTGACTAGCAATGCGGTCTTCAGCCAAGTGCGGGATATGCTTTCTGAATGAAGAACGAGCATCCGCCCTCCCCAGAGATCGCTCTCAAAGTACACGAGGAGCAACAAATACGTTTCTGAGCCGCCGTTTAAAAGAAGAGCTCGAGAAACCCCGCGACTTGCTAAAGATGGAGCAAAAGCCGAATTAATTTATCGCCGATGTATATGGCTGACGACGGCCGCAGTCCACGCTTTCGAAAGAGATGCCCGGAATCTTCGAAACTGCTGACTCAGAGTTTTGTGACAGACGTATACTACTTTCATGTGTGACCTTTTTAAAACACTTGGTAACTTAAATGCTGCAGTGCTGGGGAAATTAACTGCTGTTCATTATGACTGTACCGGGAATATCAGGATGTGACCTAAAGGCATGCCCCGCTTTAGCATGCAGGCCGGACGCCTAGCGGAGAAGCTCCATTCCTGTCCTGCGCCGTGTCTCGCATATTAAATCGCTTCCTTAAATAGCCCAACGTTCTCGAGCCCGTCCAGTGAGCCGCTGGGACCGAGTCAGCACTTAAGCGTCATGGGCGAACCGAATCTCGCACCTGCCTGACAGCCGTGGCTCCCCAGAACATTCCGGACATGCGAGAGGTGTGGCCTCTTGACGCACTGGTGGGACTATGGGGGTCCGGTGCTGATATGAGCCACGGCGGGTCACCGGCTCCCCTGTCCTGGGGATGAAGCCACCCTTCCGGGTTTCCCCGCCCACTAGGTGGCGATGTAGGGGGGGGGGTGACGTAGCTGAGGTTTGTGTCTTCAGCAATGCTGCATTTAGCACATTTGATATAACCGCCCCCCCCCCACCCCCACCCCATCTTGTTGTTGTTAGCTTCACATAGATGTTAATGAATGGTGCTTGCCATGCCGATAGCGGGTAGATCTCAACTGACACCCCTGGCTGATATGTCAGCAGTGGGGGAAACCTCGGATTATTATGGGCTGTCTGTCACTGGGTGACCTAATCTGCTCCTCATTAATTTCTCTTGCTTCTTGTTGGGTGAAACTTGGCAGTGATTGACAGCTTTCGGTTAATCCAGTCCGCCATAGGTTCCGAACCCCCCCGCCCCACCCCAGTCAACGCGGGCCGCTCGACTAAAAATCACACGGTACGAGCCGTCGAGGTCTGACACGGATAAGCAGAACAGCCCATGATTGGACTTGTTCAGTTTAACGCCAGGTCTTTCAGAGCCGCGCTTGTTCCTTGATCACCTCATTTAAGCATCCATCCATCTTCAAGAAAACCGATTTTCGAGCCGCTGACACGTTGATTCCGGGGGCCTGTCCTAGAAAGCGCGGGTCACGGGGTAAACAGTGCGCACCGGGCGAAAGATCGCACCATCACGAGGCACTTGCAGAATAAGAGAGGCTTGGGGTCACCTCTTCATATGCTCCACATCCTGGAACGGCACCAGTAGTATCTGGATCAAAGCTGAATGGACACTCTACAGGAGAACACTCCAATTCTACACACAGAGCAGATATATGAACTCGCTGCCCAGGCGGTATTAAGGCAACAGCTCTGCTAACGCGAACCACGGCTCCGGCCGTTAGTGAAACATTCTCTGTTTATTTTACGTGCCCGTACTGATATAAGCTTCCCGTGAAGGTCTGCACCCTGCAGATCACACTGAACTCCGAAATAGCATTTTTACAAGGCAGAGCGTATTAACTATTCATTACTGCATTCCTGAACAATGCAACCCATTGTCAGGGATCCTGAAATAACTGGGTCATTCGTTAATTTCAATTATTTGCAAATGGTTGAACAATTTCTGTTCATCCGATAGCTCTTTAAATGTATTAGCAGGGATCCAAGGGTTTCCGGCAACGGTCTTTGCTGTGACTGCACACGTCTCTTCCGAAAGAGATTTCTATTGCTTACAAGAACAATGCCATTTATTTCGCAATTCCCTCATATTAATTTAATAGAAGACGAGATTTATGCAGGCGTAACACAGCAAAACGCTCACTCTGAACACCATGTAACCTCCATAGCTGCTCAGTGTTGTCTACCTAAGTGGGTTAATTGGATATTTACCAACCAAATTGTTTGACTAATGCTGTTGAGAACAGCGTTTGAATGGAAAAAATTAGAGACAGATGTTGTGTTTCTATGTGGAATGGTAATTGCAGTACATTCATACGCGGAAACTGGTTTGCTGTTGTTTTTTCCCCCTCGTTGTAGAACATAAAAACTAATTTAGGTTATCTGTATTATATCTAATGTGTAATTAAGTTTTGTGTATTATATGTAATTAAGTTGTTTTTAAAATGTCACAATACTTGTGAATCTGTTTTCCGTATAATATTCTGTTAATCTTCTGCATATGTTGAGATCTAGGTGAGTGCTACTATCATTACTGTAGGACACCGTAAGACGAAGTGTAAAAAATAAATAACTGGATATGACTATCACTATGGAGATTAAGTGGAGAGCTGTGTGGGAGATGTCATAAAACAGAGGAGCAAATCGCGGGAGTTCAAAACCTGTTTATTAGTGTGATATCCCATAATCCTTTGAACAAAAAGCCGAAGAGAGCAGGTGAATCCAAAAGCACACATGGAACAGGTAAATGTTAGAACTGCACACAGACGGACGTGAGTTTTAAACACACTAAGAGCACCGTGCCCAGATTACCGGTAAAACAGATCTCTGGCGCCACCTAGAGTCCTGAATAGTAGCGCTCGTCCAAGGAACACATACGCTGTTATGAAACCCACACGTGTTGTGCAACAGTCTGCACACTGTGCTGAACAGTGTCCTCTCGTTCACGCACACAAATTGCATAAAGACACCTGGTGTCTTCCGTTTCCGTTTTTTTAAAGCATTTTTCACTCTCCGTCTTTTAAAATTAGTTTCAGGCAAAAGTCAGTAAAATGGGTACAAAATATAAGCATTTCTGATGTAGAAAAAAAGACAATGTTGTAAAAGCTTTCCTGCCCAGTAGCACCATGGAAGGGTCCCCCAGACACACCAGATAACAGCTTAAGACATCATTACAACATTTAAATACAACAGACACGGGAAGGCACCAGACATATCAGTAATACTGTTAGCAATCACTTAGATATCACGTCTATATTTTGATCTCCTAAAAGCCGTTTAGAACGATCTGGCTTGATGGACGACGGGAACACTGCGGATTTTACCTCCTCCAATAAATGTCAAATTTGCTCGTTAAGGGATTTCACACGATACGTAACAGAACTGGTTTTCGAAGGATTTTTTGAGAGGCTGAACGTCCCTTTGATGCTTTGCAATCCACTGACGTGCAGCCGAGAGACAAATGTATGTAAAACAGCCTTAAAGCGAATGCGAGTTAATGCCTCTTTGACGCCTTTGTGGAAATGCATACAGACTAGCGTGTTACTTCAGTAGACAGGCTTCAGGGCTGAATTAAAGGCCCCTAAAACAATATATAAGCAAACTCACACTGGTTCGCATTCCTGTCGGCGTTCAAAGATATATAAAAACAAACATGTCAGCAAAATATTTCCATTGCATATCAAAGCTCTTTCTCTGTTTTGGTAATGCGCATCTTGTCCAGTGTATACCATTATGCATTTGTTATGTGCAAATATACTTCAAATGCTGCATAAAAAATTAAGGCGACACTTAGGTATTTCATATTTAGAAAATGCCATTACCTTTCCAGTTTAATTTTAATGTTTTTGGCTAGTTTTAATTTGTTAGAAACCTTAACCACCATCCAAGTCTGGAGAATTGTATCCTGGTCTAATAACCAAATGTCTGAGTATGCTCGTATCAAATCGACAGCCTTTAACCATTACGCCACCTTTTGGTCACTGCTTGAACCTGTAGAGAAATAATTACTTTGTGGCACAAGCCTCAGCCAGGGCTCTGAACTTGGGCCCCAGTGTATCCAGGAATTGCAGTCCCCCGTCGTCCCCAAAGTCGCTGCAGCAGCCCACGGAGCCCGGGGGCGAGCCCCGGCCCTCGAACCCGTACACGTGGAGGACGTCGTCCGCGTAGCGGTCCTCGCCCTTCTCTGCAAAATCCTCCAGCTTCTGCACGGTGTGGGAGGCGTGATAGGAAATGGAAAGTGCACATGAAAGCCGTCTGAAATATACGTGTGCTTGAGGAATTCGGATCAGAAAGATTAACTGTAACATCTGGTGATGGATGAGACAGAGTTTCTGTTTTCTTTATCCAGGTAACCCTGAGATGTGAATAACACTGTGTTCATGTCTGAAGGCCCACCCCATTTTAGCATTGTGAAAATGTGAGGGGGCTGGTTTAGCTCATTAATGATAATAGTTTAATGCGTAGCAAGCAAATCTTTAATTGGTTTAGGCCTATCTTTGACTTTGTATGCAGTAAACAGCAATTCCTCACAGAGGGAAAAAAAAACTAAATAAATAGATCCCAAGCTGTCTAATTAAAAGAAAATACATAGATGTGTTGCTCTATTATTGCTTTGTTCTGGATATTAACTGAAATAATATCCACTTTGGCCAGTCAGTAAATAGACAAAAAGCCAGCGCAGATCCATCCACATGTAACGGGCCTCCGGAATGTTTTACCTTCGTCAGATACAAGCCATTCGTTTCCCAGATGGCATAAGCGGACATGTCAGCGTGCTTCACGCGCCCGCTGTACGCAGCCCAAGCGTCCGCCCCCGAGACGCGCCTGCCGGCCGAGTCCATGAGCATCATCTCCTCACGCTGCTGCAGACTCTCGGTGCCCCCGGCGGCCGTCGCCTTGACGACTCCCCGCCCTTCACCCTCGCTGATGGGGGCCCTCAGTGCAATGGAGCTCTGAAGCCAATGAGAGATCGACATGCTAACAAGCGATCGGGGGTTGATTTTGGTCCTGGGTCTGTATCTGTGTCAGTTCTCCTCTTTTTTGTCCCCATAGTCAGAAAAAACACACTGTCTACCTTGATTTGTGTCTCTAAATTGCTCTCAATGAGAGTGTGTGTGTGTGTGTGTGTGCGCTCTGTGATTGGAATAGGCTCTGCACTTTCTGAAACCCAATTTTCTACAACAAGGCATAGAAATTTGAGGGATGGATAGATAACCCTATTGTGAAGGCACTCTGTTAGCATGTGTATATATACTGAGGTGTTTGGCTGTGGGCTTGGAGGAGCTAGGGCCTTTACCACTTCTTCGCCTGGTCCCTCGGTATTTGACTTCAATAAAACACCGCCACTGTCAAGGCTGCCATCAATGAAAACATCCTTTGTTTTTGTAGTGCAGGTAAGAGCAAGGAAAATACCTGAAAAAAGATGCGAGTTAGTCGGTATACAATCCATTTGAATAATACTACATAAAGAAGTTCTCTGCGTTTTTGCAGGTTTCCTCCAAAGGCATGTGCTTTAGGTGATTTGGTGTTTTCATTAACGTGCGCCCCCTGCTGGTTTGGCATCCCGTCCAGTGTCCCCAGCCCTGTGTCTCCTGGGAAAGGCTGCAGACTCTCGACAACTGTACCGGATAAGTAGTATGGAAAGTGGATGGAAAATGAAATGCACTGCAGCTTCAATCCCTGCCTACTTATCATAAAACCATCTAAATCCCAGTGAACTTGGTAACACCGTGAAAACACAAGATCAATTCTAATCCTACCAGGTAAACAGAGACGTTGCTGCAGTTGATACTGAAATTTGACTTTCATTATTCTGCTCGTGAACAAAGGATGCATAAAGGTCACGGACCGCTCTACTCCGAAGGCCCACTGCTATGACGTGCCACATGAGGAGGTGAACGGTGAAGTGAAGCACGTCTCTCCACTCAGGAGACTGACAGCTTGTAATGCCCCGCACATTCATTGGTTGGGGGGGGTTCTTGCGACAGTCAGTCGAGATACACTGGCCTATTCAGCCCGCAAGACGTCTGCGGAACTCCTGATCATAGATCAGCAGGTGCCTATTGCCCACACCTGAATGGATTGGGCCTTAGTGCCACAAGAACGCCTTTGCCAGCGGGGTTTCTCAGTATCAACCCCAGGGGGTCCCTCTCTTGATCTCATTTTTCCAATGTATCCCTCGGAGAAGAAGGCCGAACTTACACAGCAGCAGCAACAAGACCAAGGCCAACAGCATGGCCAGGATGGCCCACCAGTCCAGAGAGGCCCATCTCCGGGGGGGAAGGCACTCTCCGTAGGCGCAGCGGCAGATCCTGACGGTCACTGTCTGCTCCTCGCCCAAGCCTTGCTGGTCTCTGACCGTGAGGGGAATGTCATAGATGCCGGCGGGCAGTTCCGCCACTGGCTGTAACACGGCCGAGGTTCCTGCGGCACAAATCCGTGTGGTTCACGTGTGGAG